CCTAGTGAGTGACACCTGTAACTTAAAACAAGTCTTGCTTTTTGTTATTCAGTGTTTTTTGCACTTAAGATATTATTTTCTTTCTTATTCCTTCTTTCTTTAGGCTCTGAAGATGTGTGTGTGAGGTCCATGCTTGGTACTTTGCGCATGCTTGGTACTTTGTTCCAGTGTGGAGATGCCAAGACTGACAAAAAAGGTTGAAACTGTATTGCAGCAGATGGCTAGGTTGCTTTCGTGTATGTGGAAGCTTTAAAGAGAACTTGAGCTGCACAATGGAGAGGCTAAAGAAACTATCAAGAAAGATTAGGCAGCGACAACATGGTGCTGTGAACCAGAACGTAAATGTGACTGATCAGTCCATTGCTTGCCACTTCTGTGTTAACATGAAAAACAAAACAATTCACCAAAACATACAGATGGGATTACTAGAAGATGTATCCAAAATCTGACCTTGTAGGGGGGGGTGGAAAAAAGCCTCCCTGAGGCTCAGAAAAGCTGTCTTCAGCTGGAGGGCAAGGAGACAGGAGGAGCTGGGTGACTCAGGCCTTCTCCTCGAGTTCAGACTGCATTTGTTTTGGGCCTGGGTGGCTTCTCTTTTATTAAGTTGCTGAAAATGGCTGTTCTCTAAGCCAGGATCTAGTACATGAGTGTGTGACAGTGTGCAGCAGGGTTTTTTTCATGTTGCAGGAAGGAGGACAAAATCTTTTTCTTCTGGTGTAGCTGAGGGAGAGTGACAGCCTCATCTTAGGCCAGACCGCAAGCTTATGGAAAAACAACAGCTTTAGCCTTTTTCCTTTGTCTTACTCTGTTACTGAGATGCAGGCTTATACTGAAACTGAGATTTTCCTCTAAAACAGTGCTGCTTTGTTGCCTTCTGAAGTGCTTCTAGAAACTTTCTGAGCGTTAGTGGCGCAGCAGTCAGAGCTCAGCTTCCAGTCCCTAGCTGCCTGTGACCTTTCAATCCCTTTCTGGGTCACCTGAATGCCTTCTCACATTATTTTTGGTTGTGCTGCAACTAGTTGCCAATGTTGAGCCAAGAAAATTGTTCCCTTCATTTCTGTGTGCTCTGAGGGTGCACTGTATAAATGTGCATCCTTTTGGATTGTGCCTGCTGCCCTTGACCCAAAGTAACTGTGCTGTTGCTCTCTTGCTCTGCGCTGGGTATGCAGTGTGGAGCTGTCTGTCAGTGATTACACTGGGAGGTACACGCTGTGTTTCTCAATACAGCTGTTAGTCCCTCCCACCATAAGTCTCTGCAATTGTACTCCATCTTTAGTTGTTTGAATTGCATTGTCTTTGCTGTGTCAGAGTGTGACTGAAAATGGACTGAAAATTGCACCTGTATTCATGCAAGGGCTGCAAAAAACACGCACAAAGATTGCTCAGAGGTAGCAACTGTTTGAAAAGTTCAGTTTCTCTCTATAGCAGAACCTCTTCCTTTGTGCTGGGTTTAGCAGAAGCCAGATATCCTATAGAAAGCAGGTAGCATGACGTGAACTTTGTAGCTTCTTTATAGTTAGTCACAATATACTGTTTTCAATCTCTGATTTCCACTTTGACTGTCATTAAACTGCAAGACTTACTTATCTGTCTTTATGTCTGCAATTTCATGTGGTTACAATCAGCTCAGTGTAGATTGCTTCCATGGAACTAATGAACTTTAGCCTAGAAGGAGACTGATATTTCAAGAAACTGTAATTCTTTAACTTTCCTGTTTGCTAACAAATAGCACAGAACTACATTTGCCAAGTAGTTCCCTTTATGTAACCAGACTTGATGGTCTCTGGAAGGCTTTTTGCAGTGCTTCTGAAATCACTTTCTTCTGCAGTAATACTGAGAATGATCCTTTGAGCAACCACCATTGTTGTATGTTTCTTTAAAGAGAATAGTTTTACTGATAAGGGAATGCAGAGGCAAATCCAGCACTGCTTCCTTTCAGCTGTCTGAAAATGGCTCTTGCTTCTGTAGTTCTCATTACCCTAGCCACGTCAGCCTCTGTGTGGACACTATCTAACTAGGTTTCAGTGTCACTCTGTGGTGAAGTGAGAGAAACTGGGCTAAAGACTGAAAGTAGAGCTTTTCTGCAGTTAGTGGCTGCCTGGGTGACAGTAACACTGACTGAATGGTTGTGAGACAGTGCACTAACTTGAGTTGTATCCATATCTTTTTCTTCCACATCACCAAATCAACCTTCATAGTTCTGGAGCTTCAAAGCCCACTGATGACAGGTGTACTAACTTGAATGAAGTGCCTTGTAGTGCAAACTGAAGAGTGGGGTGTGTGGGTTAAGTAATCTCTTAAATGAACACCGCAGTATGTTCCTCCTCTGGAACACTCTGTTCCCAGCAGCCCATACTCGTGCTGCTCAGACTAAAGCATGCCCCCATACCAGGAAAAGTGCAATAGAGGAACTGGGCAGCATGTAGCAGTCACCCTTCCAGCACTAAGGGCTGTGCTGCTCTAGCATTAGGTGAAGTCTGAAATAACGGGGAGCTGAATTGGCTCATATGTTGGAGTTTTCTGCTGCAACCAGATAGTCTTGCTGTATTCTTGCTGACTAACTGAGGGTGTTATTTAGTCTTTACACTCAGTGAGAATGCAACCAGAATTCTCACACAAACCTCTACAATAGGATAATGGAGTTGGGAGTAGTGCCAGCAGGTAGCAGCCTGAGAAAGTGGGACTTCTGAGAAGGAAAGTGCCTGGAACAGAATGCAGAGGAGTTACAGTGGAGTCTTTTGTTGCAAGCAAAACAGTTTTACTTCTGGAAATGACACTGGACTAATTTTGTTAATGTTGAGAGCAACTTGGATCTCTTGAGCCCTAGATGTTCTGCATCTCAGTAACCTGTAGTTAGTCTGCGGTTGCTTCATTTCTAGTGAAGGTATTAGACTTGTTGGAGCGTGCGTGATTTCTTTTTTTGGAAGAAAAACATCATTACAGCTCCATTTTCATTTACAAATATGTAATTTTTATCTTAATCTTTGTTTCTGTGATTCTGTGATTACTCTGTGAATACAAATACAAATTAAATGCAAGTTCACAAATATGGCTGTTTCTGAACAGTTGTTTTTCTTTAGTGGATAATCAGTTTCATGCGAATTCAGTTCCTTCACCTACTGAATTTCTACAGTTACTGTAGGAGAAACGTATTAAATACTTCAGGTATTCAGCTGGACTTCATAGTCTTAATATAGTATTATTTTGATATATTAGTATCTGATCATTTTAAAGCAGCAGTGGCTGTATATTGAGTGCTGTGACTTCAAACTTTGGCAGACCTTGAAGTTACAAAGGTAGGAGTTATTGTAGGGTATCTTGAAGAGCAGCATGCTTTTATTTTGCGCTTCTGCAATTCATGAATCATGCAGGAAGATAGCCACTTAGTTTGATCAGTTATTAACTCATAAGAGTAATGCTTTTCTCTTTCTCCCAAACCAGATGTGGCCATGCTCCTAAACTGATCCTTACTTTAGGGCTCTTTTTTTTTTTTTTTTTTTTTGCCTTAATAGGTCTTTTGTACTTTGAAAAATTAGATGTATCAAGAAGGAGTGAAATTTCTTGTGGCAGCAGTAGGTCGCTCCTGCATCACCAGGCTGTAGTCTCTACCTAAATTATTTCTTAGACTCTGCGTGCTGTTACCATTTCCAAATGTTTCCTTTGTGTTACATCTCTTCTGAACTTTTATTATTTCTCACTGGTCTGCCCTCTACTGTGTGTCATGTTCTTTACTCTCTATTTTGCACAAGTAGTAATAGGAGATTTTTGCCTTCTCCTTTCGAGCTTGTGCTTCATCATTACCTTTAATTAAGCTCTTCTTAAGCTGGCATCTCTTCCTTCTCACTTTCTGGTCTCCTTTTTTCATGTTCTTCTGCTGCCCTGCCTCTTCCTTCTTTGTAATTAAGTTGTTTTGCTTCATTGGTCAATGACATTGAGGTCTTCCCAATCATCATAAATTGAAGTAGACATTTTGTCCTAGGTACCCCCTTTGCAGCACTTAAAAGCACAGGTGTGAGATGATGCTGATAAAGTTGTGGATAAGTGTTTACAGGACAGTGTCTGCGCTTTGGGGGAGTTGGAGGCAGAAGGAGCAGTGCCTTGCTTACTCTCTGCTTCCCTGGGATTTCCTACCTACTGGCTTGAAACTGTTATTGTAGTTGGGCCTGCTGTAAATACTTTTATTATGATGTTGGAGAAATGTTACAATTTGGTGTGGATGGCTGTCACTTTTAAACTACATAAACGTGTAAACTCTCCCACTGTTTTCACATGCTTATTCAATGTTCAGAAAGAAAGACAAACTGTAACTGTCTTAAATGCCAGCTTGCTTTTTTTAAAGGGCAAAGACAATACTTTTGTGTTCTTGGGTGATTGTTGGTAAGTGTTTTTCCTCTAACCCCTTTGAAAATGAGGGGAGGAAAGAAAGGACAGAATGAAAAATGAAAACCAGAGCACACCTTTGCAGAGCCTTAGTTTCACAGGATCTTCTTCCCATGCAGCACAGGCTATTAAGCAAATAATCTTTATGAATAGCATAATGAGTTATTTGAAAGTCAAATATCTTGCAAAACAAATCTGTTTGGCTTATGTAGACAGTGTGAAATTGAAGTTGGTCTGCTGAACCTGCATTCAAGTAGTTTCACTTGTGGTCACTGGAGCCTTGTAGCCAGACCTACTAAGTATTTTTATTTTTTTTTTTTTTTAGAGATGTAGAAACAGTGGGAGTTGGTGGTGCAAAATAGAAGGTGAAGCAGAACTCGAGATAAGAGGGAGGCTTAATCTCCCTATATGAAACCAAATTGTAGAATGGATAACTTTTCATGTGACAGTGTAAAATTAGCAAGTAAGTTTGATACAGGTATTCCTGCTGTGAGGACGCTATGCTGCTTTGTAATAGGTGGTAGAGATGTAATCTACAGCTTTTCTGTTTGTCTCCCGTGTGTAGAGATCAAGAAAATGCACGTTAATAAAAAGTGAAATATTTTATTTTTCTTTTACAGTAGAAGAAGTGGAAAACAAGCCTTGCAGTGCAATGAGGTAATTATTTCTTCATGTTATATATATTTAATAATTGTAAGTGCTATTGATCCTCTTTTTGCTTTCTGTCCCATAATTGCAGCTTTGGTTTGGACACAGTGATGAGTATGATGCAAGTGTAGTTTGAATGACACCTTCAGACTTGTAATGGTGAAACAAATGGAAGAATCAGAGTAATCGCATATAACTGAAGTTTTTGTTAGTGCTTGATGTGTGCCATATGCTTTTTCATCTCTTTGTGCATCATGAACATTTAAGGACTAGTTCTCTAAGTTTGATCGTACTCTGAGCAATAAAGAGCTACCAGTAGAGTTCAAGCAATCAGTGGTCTAGAGAAGCAATAGGATGTGGCCTTAGGAATACTGGCAGATGATGTCTTCCAGAGACAAGCAACTTCGAGATGGCAAAGTGCTTTATAACTTGTTTTAATATTTGTTTTATATTACATTTGTTTTAATGCTTGAACTAATGATTTTGTATCATGATAACTATTTCCTATTGCACCTTGTTCTGATAGCTTAGTTCCTACTTAAGATTTCTGTTAGCTGTTAATGCATGCAATCCCAATTGCTACGTTTCTTTTAACTTGTGTGAGCAAGTCTTGAAATTGGCAGGAAAAATTGCAAAAAACTGCCGAAGGAAGATAGCTGTAAGTAATGCAGCTAGGGAGAATATCACACCATCTAAACATGTTTTACAGAAATCTCTCTTTTGTTGTTCTGCTTGTTCTATGTGGAGCAGAAAGAGGGAAAGAAGGAGCGAGCGATGGTGGACAGGTTGTTTATTGCAAGGATATGTCGAATCCTGAAAATAATGGTCCCTAGAGCACTTTGTAAGGAGGTAAGCATTGCCTTGAGTAACAAAGACAAATGGGCGTTTTTGGAGTTGTTTTCTCTTGTAATATACCTTGCTAGAATAGGGCAAAATTGTAGTGCATACTTTAAAATGGCAAAAAAACACGTAAGTATAAAAAGCTACATCCGCTTTCAGTTATTAGAGTGCTAAAATGTGATGACTTTTATCCATTTTTTAACTATTATATATCCATTTCTGTTCTAGACAGGTTATTTGCTACTTATTGCTGTAATGCTGGTACTCCGCACATATTGTGATATTTGGATGATTCAAAATGGAACAGTCATTGAAAGGTATCTATTAACTGCTTATTTTAAAATATTTTTCTTACTTTTAGCAGGGGAGGGTAGTTTAATTCAGGCACTTATTGCGTATTAATGTGCCCGAGTAACTGGCATAGTCATAATTTCATAGCTCCTATTATTTTGAAAAGGAGAAAAAAAAAATTATTGTTCTGCTCTTGGACACTATTTTTAAATCAAATGTGCCTCTTGGTAAATGATTTTGCAGTCATATTTTGTACATTGACAACTCTAAGTCTTGTGGTGATCTGAATGTCCAGGGAGGTGCTTTAGAATGGTTATGTGATGGTCCTGCAACAAATGAAGTCAATGTACAGGTGACTGCATAGCAGAACTTGGGGGCATTAGAGCTAGAGGTGTAAAGTAAGTTTTGAATAGAATCAGAAATATGTAGTTCTGTTAAATTACAGATATTTTGTTCCCATAATACAATTGTAAAGAAAGATAATAGGGGGGCTATTCAAGATGATCCTTTAAAACTTACTGCTGCTGTTCTGGTGTTTAAAAACTGCTGAACTTGGTAACATAGGCAGTCACATACTCTGCTAATTTTCCATAGTTGCTGCAACAGTGAAGCTACTGTGCTATGCTGTTGCTGTGTTTTTGCTGTTTGCTTCAGAACTGGTGAACTGTTAGTCTTTTTAGTCGTTCATTTGCAATATTTCCAAATAAATGTAGCTTCTCATCAGCAACATTTTTTTTTAATTGGTTATAAATCAAATTGGCTCATCTTTAAGATGTAATAAAATTCTAATACTGATATGCTTCTACCTTCATATTGCTTTGTCTTGTCAGCTAGAAAATTCAGATTCTATTCTTTTGAAACTGTCAGCCAGCTGGTAGCAATAATATTTTGGCTGTCCAGCTTATCTGTTATATTAGCACCTCTGATCTTGTAATGTCGAGAACATGTAAGGAAGTTCAATGGCAGTAGTTATATCTTTATATCAGAGGATAATTTTGTTTTGTTACTAGTGGGAGATGATAAGAATTCTCCTGATGCATATTTTACTTGAGTTTGTCATTCTTGATCCTACAGCTACAAACCGCTGGTCTTCGCTGTGAGTTTTTTTTTTCCTCTGCTGTGTGATCCACTGACAGTTCCTCCATTTGAATACTACCAGGTTATAGTTTCTCTTGTAAATAACTCTTAGCTTATGGCTGTTTGCAGTGCTATCATTGGTCGCAGCAGAAAAGATTTCAAGAAATACTTGCTGAACTTCATTGCTGCAATGCCTGCCGTAAGTGCTTTTCTTGGATTTGAGATATTTTCTGCTATAAGAATGGCACAAATGAAAATTTGAGGAAAAGATTTCAAATGGGTGTCTCAGAGTCTGTGGGGAGTAGTTGCTTTATGTGAAGGTCTGTATTGAACAGATTTAATTTCCTGGCTTCATATGTGAGAGACTATTGGCACATTTCTGCGTGCTTGCTGACTTTGCTGTTATGTGTAGTTTTTCAGGTTGGTTTTGTTTGTGGTAGTTTTGGCTAACTGCACAGTATGGCACCTGTAGGACTGCCTAGTCTCGTTCTGTGAATTGGGTGATGTTTAGCAATGCAGTTTTAGAATTTTTTGATACAATTGAAGAACTCTTTTCAGTTTTCTAGCTTTAAATTTCTTACAACTCTTTTCTAAGACTTGGGTTTTTTCCCATTGACTTTTCCTTCAGCTTTCGAAAATCTGACTCCTGCTAGATTAAAAAAAAAAAAAAAGACAACACAATTGTTACTACCTAATAAATAATCTAGCTGTTATATATGGTAGGCATAATAGTGAATCAGTCATTAGGGCACTTTGGCCACATTAAAGGGTGGCTCTCTTAGTTTAGCAGAAAAGCTAAAGATTTGTTATCTGAACGTTGGTTAATGTTAGATCTTCTGATGTGATGAGTACCACAGAGAACTGGAGTTGTCAAAAATGTAAATGAAAACTTAATCAGTAATTGTGTGGACACCATATATTTGGTTTTAAGTAAGTTAAACAGTATTATTGACTTCCAGAGGACAATTCCCCTACTTTAAAGTGTTTGCACAAGCTGTGCTGCAGATGAATTGAGGTATATTGAATCTTGTTATCTAAATATTGAAATACCGTCTCTTTCTAGATCTCTTTAGTAAATAACTTCTTGAAATATGGTCTAAATGAATTGAAACTCTGCTTCCGAGTAAGGCTCACCAAATACCTCTATGAGGAATATCTCAAGTGAGTAACACCTTGTTAATGTCCAGTGTTTTTAAAAACTGAATTGATCCAAATTGAAACAAATCAGTTTAAGGCCATAGTAAGAAATTAGCAAGATGCTTAGTAGTTACATTATTTAGAAAAGACTTCTGATTGCATTTAGCATGGAAAAGGATGAGTGGTTCATCCAGGTTGTATATGGCAACAGGTGCAAAGATGGCAGAGTTGGCTCAAATGGACAAAAAAAAAAATAGGCTTTTATTAATAGGTGAGCTCTCAAAGTCCTTCAGTTGTTCTTGTTTGGTGCTAATAATCTACTGGCTGGATTGGATGTATGAATTTGAGTAGCTTCTTACGTTCTTCTGCACTAAATTTAGGTTGTCAGATGTGCTGTTGAGATGATCACAAAGATCTTCTAACTCAAAATGCAGCACCAGAGCGTAGAGCAGTGTGGGACTGAGATTCAGCAAGGGTGATGTTCTGGAGCCTAAACAGGAGAGTTGATGTGGGTCTATTCTTGCAGAAGCATAAACAGTGTTGACTCCATGCAGTCATTTAATGTCTGCATTGTTTTCCCCCTTATTGCATGATGTAAGGAATTTCCAATTATTTGAGATCGTAAGGTTATGATATCTCTTTTTTCTGCCTCTTAACCACTGTTTTGTTACAGGGCTTATACATACTACAAAATGGGAAATCTGGACAACAGAATAGCTAACCCAGATCAACTCCTTACACAGGATGTGGAAAAATTCTGTAACAGTGTAGTGGACCTGTACTCAAACCTTAGCAAGGTAAACTTTTTTATAGAGAGCTTTGAGTTATAGATGTGGTAAAAAAAAAATTTGTTTAAGCTATTATGGTAATATCTTTTTTCCTCTGCAGTTCCCATAACCTCTGCTAAAACCCTCTGATAGGTTGTAAAATTTTTCCTTAAATTTTATTTTAAAGAACATAATGCTCTTTTTAAACAGGTAAGCAGGGATGTGTGTGTACTTTCTCAGCTAGTTAGATTTCAGAAGAAGAATAACTGCTTATTCATAGTTAAATAGAAATACTACTGTGGCTAGGGAGGTGTGGCTGAGTGTATCTTCCTTTGTTTCATGTATGAAACTTTGTTTTTTGATGCAATGAGGTAAAATCACAATTACATATTCATATTATGTTGATATTCTAATGTTTTGTTTCCTCCATGCTTGTGTTACAGCCCTTCTTGGATATAGTTTTGTATATCTTCAAGCTAACAAGTGCAATAGGAGCTCAGGTAACTTGAGTGTTTTCTACATAAATAAGTTTCATCCCTTTGGTTCTAGCATTGTATCTGGAGTCTGAGAAGAATGTTAGATCTTAATCATAGTTTGATCCATTATTTCAGAGGATATACTAAAATATGCTTTAATACTTAGTGTTTTATAAACTTCAGTTCTTTTTGTCTTGAGGCAAGCAAGATAAAAGCTCTCAAGCTTAAAGAGGATAGGTTTAGAGGTTTAGGTTAACCCTGAGCAACCTGATTGATCTCTGATGTTGCTGTATCCAGCATAGGAGTTGGACTAGATGACCTTTAAAGGTCCCTTCCAGCTCTAAGATTTCTATGATTCTGTGGTCTAAAAAGCAGAATTTGCAGGCGCTCAGCTATCACAAAGCATAAGTTCTTTGTTTTCTTTTGGCTGTTGATTGGGAATTCCCTTTGGAACAGTGCCCTTTCTGATTGCTCTTATCTTGCGCGTCTGGCTTTTAAGGGAAAAATTAGTTTTCCTGTTTCTTTGTAACCTGTATAAAGAGGAGCCATTCCTTGGGTGGAAACAAAGGAGAGAAGATAGGAAGGATTTAGGAAACTGAGTGAAACAAGTAAGCAAAATGGGAGATGTAGATTTTCTCTGAATGATGATAAAAATTTGAGTAGAGAGCTGGGAGGGAGAATTACATCCCTAAACATGGAATTAGGAGCAAGAAGATCATGCTGGCTGCATGAAAGAGGAGCAGCACGAAAGGGACTGTAAGGAGATGCTAATACAGACATGTGGAAAGAGAGAATCAAGGATGTCAAGGATTTAATGCTTTCTGTGCATTTTGGATATAGATGTTGCAGTTTCCATTGGATTGTAAATCTTGGTTGCAAACCATTGGATTGAAAATTTTTATTCCCTTTTGATATTTACAGGGTCCAGCTAGCATGATGGCATACTTGATTGTGTCAGGGTTTTTCCTTACACGTTTAAGGAGACCAATTGGCAAGATGACTATCGTAGAACAAAAATATGAAGGGGAGTACAGATACGTCAACTCACGGCTTATTACAAACAGGTATAGATTTACTTGGTTAGCAAGATAGACCTGACAAAATAATTCTGTGGCGTAAATAGAGGCTGGATGTTAAAATATATTCTGAAAGACACTATCAGTTCTGAGTCTTCACATCTTTATGCAGATCATGTAATCATTTCTATTTGCATTGTATTCCTAATTTGAAAGAACAGCTGTATACGCGGTAGTTGTTCGAGGGCAAAAACTATTTCAGACAAAAAGAACAGTCTGTTTTATAGTTGACTCTTTCAGATTGTCATTTAAAAAAAAATGAAGTTTCCTTCTTTGTCTTTTTTTTAAAGTGAAGAAATTGCTTTCTATAATGGAAATTTGAGAGAAAAGCAGACTATTCACAGAACCTTCCGTAAACTGGTAAGACTTCTAAAAACACTTTAAGCAAAACTTTGATTATTTTCTCATCATGATTCAAGTTTATCTTTTTTTTCCTTGACATTCTTTTGAACCTTTCTCCAGTTTTATTTCTTCAGAAAAGGGCTTATCTAACACTGTTTCCATTAAGTTCATTTTCTTGAAACAGCTGATTTTTGTACCAGCAATCTTAAAATCAGTTCAATTATGACCAGCTTTGTGTCAAAGAATTTTTGCGTAGTAGTTAGTACTATAATTTCAGCTAAAATAATTATTCTAATGTAACTGTATTGCATAAACTGACTTTGAGGTTCTAGTCAAAAGAAAGATATTGTGTAGTACAGAAATGGATAATATCTTGGATTTTTGTAATATATGATCTCTTGAGAAGTTGTCATACACAGGTTTCTCTAAGAACATTCTGAATAATTAATAAACAAATGACCTACATTGAAAAATTTGTTTCTTATTTTGGTTCAGTATAACTGTATGCAGTTGTATATGCAAAAATAGAGTGGAATGAAAGTGGAGACTGCAAAGAAAAAGCTGAGAAATAGAAATGTCCTAAAATGTGTGTCTGCAAAAACATTCATTTGAAACTACTCCTAGTTTTCCTGATTAAGTCTTACTTTGCAATTCAAATGTGGTTTAACTCTTCAACACTGATTTTTGTCTGTTCAGCACATTACAAATGAAACACTTCAGTCTTGTCTTCCTTTCTACTTGTGTATGTCTCAGCCTTTGACTTCTTGTGCCTCATGTTTCTTGTTCAGAAACTAAGGGCCTTTTAGTTTATTTTTTATTTTGTATACCATCTTTTTCCTTAATTGTTTCTGTTCTTTGTTTTGCCAACTTTCAACACTTCTGTCCACTTCTCCACCTCTTTTTCCTTCTGCAGTTTTATTTCCTTGCTTATTTTGCGCTCTTTAATTTGGAGCTCTTCTAAGCCTTCCCCTTGGTTCTTGATGTGTACAGTTGTATAAATTAAACTGAGTTGTTGTTTATGCTGTTACTATCATCAGATTATAGATCTGTTTTTAGAATAAAATCAGGATGTAGTTTTGACTGAATGGTCTTTCTCTTGCTGCTCAACTCCTTTTTACTCACCACCGTTACTGACCCCTTTCTATGCTTAATTTCAGGTGTAGATTTTCTTGATCTAGAATGCAGATGTTTGCCAGTAGGGACATTGGTAGTAATTATCACAGGCTGCAGACTTTGTTAAGGGCTTTTGTGAAAAATACTGAAAAATAACTATACTTGGATTCAAAATTCAAAAAAAATAAAATAATAAAACATAGTAAAACAAGGACTGATAAAGTTTGATTTCTTTATTTCTGTAACTTGCCAGGTGGAACACTTACATAACTTCATCCTGTTCCGGTTCTCTATGGGTTTCATTGATACTATCATTGCCAAATGTAAGTGTTCAGTACTAATGGACTGTATTAAATAGCCAGCACTAAATTGTTTTTCTTTTAATTGCTTCAATTAGTATATGGGTTAATATTTACCCTTAAAAACTACAGATCTTGCCACTGTGGTTGGTTACCTGGTTGTTAGTCGTCCATTTTTGAACCTGGCTGATCCTCGTCATCAGAATAGTACCCATGCAGAACTTCTAGAGGTAAGCACAACGGAATTCAAAACAATATATTGAATTTATGTTTTGTTAGTTCATATAAAGAAACTTTATTCTACTCTAGGATTACTACCAAAGTGGAAGAATGTTACTGAGAATGTCTCAAGCTTTGGGTAGAATAGTCCTAGCAGGTCGTGAAATGACGAGATTGGCTGGGTAAGTGTAACACTACTTGCGTAAGATGATCTTTCTTGAAGTTATGTTTCTGCTGATTCTCATCTCATTTTAAGAAACAGGTAACTGTAGAATTAAAATGAGCTATGTGCTTTGTTCATAATAGTGTATTCAAAAATTAAAAATATTTTGCACTGGAAACGCTGTATTTGAAGACATGATATTTGCTTCCACTAAAAAGAAGCAGCGTACAGTTTGAATGGTTAGTTGAAAGGATGTTGGCAGGTACCTGTGAATCAGTTATGTGTTATTTTACCAAAATGTTTGGGGGTTTGTTTTTCACTTACAATACATCCTTCACTAAAATATGGAATATCTGACTGCAGTAGGAAAAGGTTCTTACAATCTCAGTGCAATTCTAAACTCTTCACTTCCTGTGCTGGTTTGATGAACATTTCATTTTGACTTTTTAATAGAATACTACTCCTCACATAGATTTCTGAAACTTCTAAGGATTATTTATAAGTTTTGTTTTCTTTAGTTTCACAGCTCGGATTACGGAATTAATGCAGGTTCTGAAGGATTTGAATAGTGGCAAATATCAACGTACCATGGTATCGCAGGAAAAAGGTAAATGGGCTGCATGGTGTGCAATACTAGGCATCTCTTCCTAATGCTCCAGTTTCTAATACATTTTTTCTTTAAATTAAGATGCAGATATGAAACAAGCTTTACCTTTGATACCGGGATCTGGCGAAATTATCAACACCGATAACCTTATCAAGTATGTTTTTCAAGTTCCTACACCTTCAGTATTTTTAACGTACTCTGTTTTTTTAGTCTTCTACCACTGTTTATAGAGCAATACACTTAATTACAGTAAGAAATTCCTGCTGTAGCATAGATCACTTATAAACAATTCCCTTTCATTACCATTTAACGCTTCTGTTCTGAGAGTCGGTCTTTGTTTTTCAATATTAGCAGGAAACATAATGCTTGTTGTATTCACTTAGCCTTCTTGGCAACATTTCCTGCTGCCTGCCTTTTTTTTTTTTTTAATGTGACATCAGTCCTTTAGAAAATATTTTGATAGCATGTTTTGTTCTTTGATGTAGTTCAGCTGCAAAAATCAGGAAGAAGTCTGTATTCATTTTCAAAGCACTTGTATGCTTTGGTCACTGATGTACTTAAGTAGCAGGTTGTTTTATTTTTTTTTGTGGCCTAAAGAACATAGGTGGATGTAGTGGTACTACTGAAACAAAGACACCAAGTAAGGCAGGTTAAGACATTAAATAGCTTCAATCTGGTTAGTGTGGAACTCAGATATGGGAGTATAGGTGGAGGGCAGGAGAAGGAAGTTGGTGATAGAGCTACTTAAAAAAAGCAAGCTAAAACCATAGGATGTTTTGGAGACTAAAGATTTAGAAATATTCAGAAAACAGATACATGAAGAGAACTTTTCAAGTGGGTCAGTAAACACCCAACAAACAAAAACAGTCTTAATTTTCTTAGCTGCTGATTGTTAGAAACTGAGGTAATGTACTGAATGAAATACTGCTGAAGTCATCTCTGTTCCTGAAATCTTTGCCTAAGCATGCAGTGCTAGCTAGCTTTAGGCACCTGCTCTCATTTTGATTTATTTTATTCTTAAAATGCAAATAGGTTTGATCATGTTCCACTGGTGACACCTAATGGTGATGTTTTGATCCAAGACCTGAACTTTGAGGTAAGATTTTAAATATCATTCCAATGGTATTGTGCTTCATTTTATACTTCAAAGTGAAAATGGTAAGTGGTCAGAGTTTAAAACAAAACAAAAAAAAAAAACAACAAAACAAGAACAAAAACAAGCAAACAAAAATGCTTGTATGATGTGCATATGCAAGAACAAAATTCATGTTTTTCCTTAATTTTGAAAAATAAAGGCAGTAAACTGTTGTTGCAAATAAAGTTTGTTACAAGTATGTTTTTTTTCCAGCTGCAATTGATGCCAAACTAGCTGGAGTAAAGAATTTAAGTATTGTTGGAAATTCTTCACTGATGTCAAAATCTGCTACTATGTACAAGCCTACAAGGACAAGAGTTTGTCTTATCATTTATAGCAGCTTTCAGTAGCTTTCAGCAGTACTTTCTCACTACTGTTTTAATGTTTTGTCTTTCCATTTTTAGGTTCGATCTGGTACAAATGTTCTGGTTTGTGGGCCAAATGGATGTGGGAAGAGCTCACTTTTTCGTGTTCTTGGTGAAGTAAGGAAACTTTCAAATAGATTTGGAAGAATCTGCAACAGAAACACAATTGTAGAACTTTTTTCCTCAAGTTTAAATCTTTTTCTTGTAGTTGTGGCCATTGTTTGGTGGACGTTTAACAAAACCTGTAAGAGGAAAGTTGTTCTATGTTCCTCAGGTGAGATAAAGCACTTTAACAGACAGGTCTTCTCTCTCTTCCTTTGATGACTGTTCATAAATATTTGACATAACTTATTGTCTGTAACTGTCTCAGAGACCATATATGACTCTTGGAACACTCAGAGATCAAGTTATATACCCAGATACTTTAGAAGATCAGCGAAAGAAAGGGATTTCTGACCAGGTAATAAGTGATTCATTTACTCATATTAAGTGAAACAAATGGTTGTGCTTTAGATTAAAAATACTGATACTATTAAAAACACTACATTTAGTTTGTTTCTAATGTTTATCATGGTCGATGTTACACCTGCATAGTAGGATAACCCTTTATAACTCTTCTAAATATATATATTTTTAAAGTTCACTGAAACTTTATTACTACTTTTTGAAAAAGGTGCTGAAGGAGTACTTGGATAATGTCCAGCTGGGTCAAATCTTGGAGCGTGAAGGAGGCTGGGACAGTGTTCAGGACTGGATGGATGTGCTCAGTGGAGGAGAAAAGCAGAGAATGGCTGTATGTCTCAAAAGCATAAGTACTTAAAAAATACAGGAAATAAGTTGAAAATGCAATCTGGATTTTAAGCAAATTTTGTGTATTAAATATTGATATTTTACTTAAAGAAGGAAACCCCAAAAAGTGAAGTATCTGAATATAGCAAAAACACATAGTTAAAGAAACAATTACTTTTGCTTGAAATGTAGTAAGAATGCTGAGCTTGTACCACTCCTTGCGCTTTGATTATGTGAAAGATGATTTTAAAATAATGGTTTTGCAAGTAAAAACAAAAAATCAATGATGTAATGTACAGCTCTCAATTCTCTGGCCGCGGTAAATTTTTGGACATCGATTTTAAGTTTAAATTGTCACAAGGCTGTACTGACTGCAGTCATGTATCCACATAGTTTCTTCGGTTTGCATTCCAGATGGCAAGACTATTTTATCATAAGCCCCAGTTTGCAATTCTGGATGAATGCACCAGTGCTGTTAGTGTTGATGTAGAAGGCTACATTTACAGCCACTGCCGAAAGGTAAGTCCTTTCCTTTTATTTTTCAATGAATTGTACAAGAAAGCATTCCTGTATTCTCACTGCTTTTAGTGAGTTTCTATTTTAGAAAGACTGGAGATAAAATTGCTAGCTATAGCAGTTGTGTCAGTCCTTAGTGAATACACGTATGTTTCATCACTTTAGTGTAATTATTTCTTCCTGCAGTAATGCCTCATGAATCTCTGTAGTAGAAATGGCCCACTGCTATTTCATTTCTTCTCACCTACTCAGTTCTGTGATTTACATAGCAAATAACCTGGTCGTCTTCCCAGACATTCTGCATGCTTCTAGGGTGCCTTGCAGAAAGATAATCTTTTTTCTTTGTTATTTGAGAGGGCCAGGCTGCATCTTCCAACTCCAGATAAGTATTCTTTACTACTTCAGAAAAAAACTTATATTAAGTGCCTAGTATTGTTTCAAACCTAGTGTGGGAGCTCGAATATGTATTATACAATGAAGTATTCAGGGTGTGCATGAAGATGTTTCTGGAGAACGCTCAGGGCCTTCACAAATCAGTGCTGCAGAAGAACTTTGGCACTGCCTATCCACTCTCTCATTTCTTCTGCTCTTGCATCCCTGAGATTGTATTACTAAGAAAATCTTTGTTTTTTCCTTAGTATTCATCCGTTGTTCTTCATGGCTAAGAAGAGCGAAAGAGTTTACATAGTTTACAAGAGTTATTTGAAATGTACTCCTAAAGACATGTAATTTTTTTCCTCAAATACATCTCTAGAATTGTATCTGTGGTTAAGAGGAAACTTGAAAATAGTATAAGTGGATTCTATCTTATGCGTAGTATAGAATTTATTGGAGGGAGAAAAAAGAAAAGCTCAGGGCATGCAGGGTCTCTTTGTGTGTGCTAGGGTTCGATAAGTGTTTTAAAGTCTCTTGGTGATTGAGGTGTACATGTGATACTCTGCATCAGAACTCTTATTAGATGAGGACTGCAGAATAATAGGCATTGTTTCTTGAAGTAATTTTGCCACATAACTATGAATACTGTGAACATTTTGTAAGAACAGTTTAGGGTGTTTTATTTCATTAAGACTGGAACGTCCGCTTGTTTTTTAGGATTACTGTTGCCAGGTGACTAATGCATATTGCTGAGAAACAGAGTTCCTATCTAATCTGTCCTTGCAGAAACAAAGACAATTACCATTTTATTGTTGGAGCCATTTGGTCTTGTATTTGGTACAGCTGCTGGGGATGCATAGTTAACTGAGTTGCAAGGAAGCAAAGGAAAATTGCCTTTAAGTTGTCCCTTACAAAGGTTATAATTAATAGCTTGTGTGGCCTGGGGATTTGTGACTTTTTTTTTTTCATGTTTAAGTAGACTATTTTAAATTATCAGCTATATTTTAGTCACCTGAAGCTTTATCTTCCTTGCCTTATTAATACCAAACGATCAGGAGCAAGAGAATGGTGAAATGAATTGGGAAAGTTGGAACTCTTTTTTTTTTTTTTTTTTTTTTAAAATTGTTAAGTTCTTGCATTAAGGCTGCGTATTTACACTACTTACTACTACACAGACTAGTGGTCTGGAAGCTTGTTTTTATGAATTTAACTTCATCAGCTGTATCCGGCTGAAAAATAAATACTATCTCTCCATGAGAAAAATGACATTAACTGCCTTATTTCCTTATTCATGTAGGTTGGCATTACTCTCTTCACTGTATCCCACCGGAAGTCACTCTGGAAGCATCATGATGTACGTAATCTATCCTTTTACTAAGTATATCTGTAGTTGGTTGAGATTTATTTTGATTTTTCTATTAAATTCAAGATGTTCACATCTTATTTCCTAGTAGGTCACGTTCTGTTTTATTAAAAGGTTAATTTAATAAAAGGATTATTTCATAATACTGTTGCAGTATTTGAAATATTCTTGTACATCTAATTATGAAAAGTTTTTAGCCTGAAAAAATAACCCTAAGCCAACAGCAAACCAACTTTAATGAGAGTTCAGTACAAAGTATGGAGAACTTGCTTTCAGAAGATACCTACCTCCTAAACCTGTACATAAATTTCTCTCTAATGCATAGACCCAAATTGTGTGTGTGTATAACAGGAAGGGAGGAGGGGTGGATGCTGAATTAATATAGAAGGATGAATGTTTGCTTTCAGTACATTGTCACAGTGGACAGAAGATGGACATTCAGTCTGGGTGTGACCTGTATGCTTTATAAAAACAAAATCTGTGTGTGTTTATGTACATTATGCACACACATACTTTTTTCTGCTAGAGGTAATCAAATTTAGTGAAGCACAAGGTGGGAAGCCCTGGCCAGCTGAATTCAAGATTTTATGTTGAAGCTTCTTAAAAATTGTAACTTATTTGTGCGCTTACGGGGTGGTAATTTTTAAGGGATTGATAATGTATGTGTTTTTGTTTCAGTTTTACTTGCGCATGGATGGCAGAGGAAACTATGAATTCAAGAAGATAACTGAAGACACAGTTGAATTTGGATCTTAAAGCTCATAAACTGAACTGCTACAGAGACTGATTACTGGAAATGTGTAGAATGGCAAACCTTGTACAGTAAATCTACTCAGCTTGTTTTTAAACAAATTAACTAGGATAACTTAAAACAAGCTCTTAAGCGTTTACTATTATGTAGGATATTGCTAATTGTGTATATGTTGGTTTAATTATTAATATGTACTAAGAATGTCTTTATTCTTGTGGTTTAAAAACCTGCCTAAATTAAATTGGGCTTAAATCAGTGTAACCTGATTCATCCTGGGATGCAAACCATTTGAAATCAGCTGATTTGACTTTTGTAGACTTTCACTCTTTTTTCACTCTTCAGTGAAAAGCCCTGTTAAAATTAGGGTTGCTACCTCTTTCTTGTTCCTGCAAAGCAGTCTTGGATATTTTGCTCTGTTCTATGCATTTTTCTGAGTTATCTCAAACAATGCAGGACATTATCCCATCTTCAGATCTATGCTCTGCTTGGTTCAGAAAGAGCCTTTTCCTTCACCAAGCCTTGTGATGTAGCCAATACACTTTTGCTGATGAAGAATGGACTGAACCTGAAAGATGAAACTAATTCCTTCTGCTAAGAAAATTAAGCTAGTGCTGTGCTGGGTTTTGGGTTTTCTTTTGATCTTTGTCTGTCCGTGCTGTCATCTGCTGCTCACTAATCTCATTCTCTTCTGATTTATTAAGACCTCTTCTATAGCTCCACCTTTTCTGTCAATGAAACCCTATGGTAACAAAGAGTTGAGAGGAAATTGAGGGTGGAAAGGGTTAATCAATCAGAAGGGGAAAAGAAAGATGATGTTCCAGCTATCTGAGAAAGCAAATAGTTCTCACAAAGTGTAGGAGCAATCATTCTTCTCTTGAAATTGGTAGAAGTTAGAAAAGACTGAGATCATTCTCTGGAAGATTACTTTAACAGACTGCTCTGTGTCCTGTGTGTGTGTTCAGTTTTGTGATGCAGCAGCTACTTTTCCTTTTCTTTCTCTTAAAAAAAAAAAAAATCATATCTCCTTGTGGTTTTGGCTGCTTTACAGATACAAATTTGAAAGTAAGTGATAATGGTACTTGATAGATTTTTCTAGTCTGTGAAGCCTAAAATAATGCTTTCACCCTTCAAATTTTTCTCTAATTTCGGTTGCGAGGTTTCTTGATTTCTGATTTAAAAAATAAAAATAAAAAATTTACCAGCAGTTCTCAGTGCTGTCTGAGTATGGCTAGTCCCTGCTGGATTTATTATTCTGGCTGCCAAATCCCTTGATGAATTCAAACTCTTAAATTGTTTACTGTAACCATTTTTCCCCCATACAAATGATGACTCTGGTGGCCATGAGATTTTGACAAACATAAATGCAGCAAGGTGAATTTTGTCATCAGAGAGTAGGAAGGTATAACTCAAACTGAATTACTGTTTAAGCTTTAAAACAAAAAATTGCAATACCTGTTCTACACTGAAGGTCTAGTAATTCCTTACTGTTCCACATAAGAAATAATATAGGAATGCATTATGTGAAGGCATGCATAAAATATGCAATAAATCTGCTCTGTGCATCTTTTATCACAGATTTAGGTTTAAAAAATGTCTCTTCATAAAATGGGAATGAATTTGGATGTTCTGCTGTATGTTGATTTCCTTATTTCATCATCTTTCATGTTGAGATGGCTACCTGTTAGTATTTTTCCTTTGATCATAGTTCTTGCCCTTAACTTTCACTGCTAGTACTCTTTGATAGTATTCAAATGCAAACAGCTATCCTAGTCTAAGAATCCACTGATCACAGTAGATTTGTGGTAGGATGCATCGAGGAAAGTCAGAGTGTGTCACATTCAGGAGCATAAGGTGCCAGAACAAATTTTTATGCTCATTCCACAAATTGAAAACAAATAGATGAATCTCATGTTACTAATTTTCTATTCACTCAGATTTGTGTATCAGCCTAATTTGTACTGTAGCAGGTAGCAGCATGCATTAAGTGAGGTTGTAATATTTTTTTTTTTGACTGAAACTGTGAAAATATGAATGCCAGATAGCTATTGTTGTGAAAATTGTCAGCACAAATGCAACAACTTCTCTTGGAAGGGTTGTTATACCAGCCCCTTTGTGTAACATGAAGCAAAAAAAAAAATATATATCAATTAAAATGAGGAAGTTGCTGTTATGTTTGTGATTAGGACAGACTTGGAATACTTCAACAAAATTGTAACGTTGACAAGCCAAACCATACACGGCACACTGATAAGGAACCCCAGCAACCAGTCCTGTGGTTCCTCACAATTCAATGGGTTGCTAACAGAGTTTTGTGTAACCTCAGATTTATTTAATAAACTAAAAAAAGTCCTATTTTACAACCAAGGAGAAATAATTTGACTTTATAGACGACATGGCATTCATTGACATGGAAGATGCTATATTTCCTTAGGGTCAGGACCTAGCGTTTCTGAATATACTGAGAGGGAAGAGAAAACATCCTGAGCTTGATTGCAAACAAGGCTTATAAAATAGTACAAGAAATGTTTTAGAATGATATTCTTAAAAAGCCTTATATTGAGGTATTTTGAGATAGGCTTGATATAAATGAATGTTTGTAAAACCTAATGAAAGTGATCAAGTCTCAATTATGTTGCAGAATTGCACTGTGATGCTGTATTTTAGCTCGTAAGTCTTTTTAATAGCACAAGTTGGAATTCTGTAAATTGGAATTCTGATCTATCTTGGTAAGGCAGAGTACTGAACTGTTGATGCTTTGAAGATGGTATTGGTACTAGTCAGGTGGCTGCATTTCAACAGTGGTGGGAAACATTCCTGTATGTAAATACTGTAAAGTGTTTTTGAGGGGAAAATGGCGCTATATAAATGTAAGACATTAAGTGCCTCTGAAATAATAAATCTAAAGATGAAATATGTTTAAGCTTTTTGTGTTTCTTGATGTATTTAGGATTTTTGTAACAATACAGAACATGTATTCAACAACTACTGAATTACTCACTGAGCTACTTGACTTGTGTTCAGCTTATAAAGGGTGTAATTCTGCCTGATATTCATCCAGGCATCAGCCAGACGATGCCATCCACTTGTAGGTTTAACAAAAATATGAACACAGTACTCAAAGATTTATAACTCAGTTGCTTTGTGTATATGTGCATTAATCTGTTCTAAATCTGCTCTGATTTTGACCTCTCTTTTTCTCTCCTACATCCTTTGTCCACTTCTTATCCCTCAGAATTTGCCTATGTTGGAAGGGTGTAGACTTGCGTAAGATTAACATAGAATCATAGAATCACAAGGTTGGAAACGACCTATAAGATCATCCAGTCCAACCATCTCATCACCATTGCCACCACTAGTACTAAACCATATCTCGCAGCACGTCATATGTGTGCTCATGTGGTAATTCTTTTGAATGCTCCCTGTTCCTTGTACTTTGAGGAAGTTATGTGCATTGTATTAGTTTTTGTTGTTGTTGTTGTGGTAGATATCTGACCCTATCAGTAAATCTATCATCCCCCTATCAGGATGCTTGAAACTGTGTAGTCTAAGAGTGATAGATTTACCTAAATGAATTGATAGCAGGGATGTTATCCTGTCATCAGTGCTTCTAACGCTAGCAGTTTTTTCTTAACTGAGACTAAGAATGTCCAACAAACTCATATATGTAAAGGATAGAGCTACCTTTGTAAGGAAGCCTCTCAAATTCAATTGAAAAATCAAGTGTTCAACTTAACTGAAGAGCTGAATGATGTTTTACATTATAGATGTGATATTTAATATTTTAATATTTTGAGCACTGTAAAGTTTGCTGCTTGTAGAATTTTGGCCTATCTGCTACCCAGTTCCTTAAAGTATTTTGTATGCATCAATACCAATTCTTCCTTATGTAAAGGGAAAATATTGATTTATGGAGCAGTGAAACTGAAACAACAGAGTTACTCTGGGAAGTGTTGGCAGTGTAAACTGCATCCTGGCCTGTAGATGTGTTGGAATGTTTCTTGCCTAAGAGGCACAGATGGTTTAGTAGGCACCTGGCTGATCAGCCCAAATGTAAAATTGAGCAGTGTTCAAGGGTGACTTGTACTATAAAGAAAATTGTGGAGGTATTGCCATTTTTTTAGCTGCATGCTGTATAGAAGTGATTAACTGGTGAGAATCAAAGCAGCAGTGTGGTTCTCTTTGTGGAACAGCACCATGATGCTTACTTGACAGGCATTTTAATCACGTCATAATTGGAACTGACAAATGAGTCACTACAACTTAGCAGAACTGGCAGTTTGAGCTACATGTTCCTTAAGCCAGAGGATTCTTCTGCGTAAATTCAGCACTAGAGTGAGAGAGAGAAAAAAGTCACTGAATTAATTGTCGTGGTTGTTCCTGGTTGTTTTTTTGTCTCCCTATAGGACTCAGCCCTCTGCAGACTCAATAGGTGCCACTGCATCCCTAATCTTTGGTATCATAAAATGACCCAGAAATGTGGAAAAAACATTAAGATGTCCTTCTATCAAGCTAGGAGATAAAAATCCATCATTAATGATTATATAGTGTTATCACAGATACTGTGAGATGTTTGTAGAAACTTCCACAGTAATGATCTCCTGAAATTCAACTGTGAAAAACAGTTGGAGATTGTTTCATTTTTTTTCCTGTAAAAGTTTTTCCAGTTTATCTTTGTCAAGAAGATAACTTCCTACAAGATCAAATTGCTGTTTACCAAGCTGCTGTATATTGTATAATGTATTTCTTCATTACCTTTCATCACCTGATTTATGCCAATTCCTTTCACAATCACGAAAAGAGTATAAACTTGTATAAACTATGATCTGCAGTTATTTGGAAAAGGGTAGGAGGCTGGTTGATTTTTCACCTCACAAGTTGTGGTTCCAGATTCTCACTCGTGTTATTGCTCAGAGTTTGCGAGGGAAAACTGAACAGGTAAGAAAATCTGAGATTTTATTTCTTAAGTGACACTTCAGGTGTTGATGTCTAAGGCATCTCTCCTTTGCAATAGACAGATTTGTATTGTTCCAAGTAGAACTCCAAAGCAGGTGGTGTTTTTTGACATACATCATCCATTCTGAAGTTGTCAACATGGAAGTTGCACACCTGGATTCTCATCAGTGCTTCCTGTCTGAAGTGACAGTAAGTACAAAAAGTAGAGAACTTTAAAGTAGAATGGTGCAGGAAGTAGCTTCATCTTATGCATATGCAAATTGGCTTTTTACCTTTGAAAGTATCTATTAACAATTGCTACAGATTAGTCTGCCTATTTTTCCTTGTGTGTTAGCTTATTATTGATGAATTAATGAGCATCTT